CTAATCTGATACAGATCAAGCAAAAAGTCTGTGCACAGTAGAATTCTATAACAGAATTTAGCAAGGAATAAAAGTTTTAGGACAGAGGAAACCAATGGCTCAACGTTGTGGTTCTTGAAGCTTGGTTAAAGTGCTGGCAACTAAATAATAGGATGATACTTCTATCTGCCTAGATTTTATATTTTTCTTGGGATCTTCTCACAGCATAGATATGATTTATTTGGATTATCAAAGAGCTTTTGATAAGGTTCTCACAAGTGGCTATTATGGAAACTTGGTAACCATGGTGTGAAAGGAAAAAGTCATATCAATGAATTAAATGAATTAAAAAGCCTTGAGAGGCAAAGAGGCAAAAGGCTGAAATAAATGGCCAATTCTCATGTAGAGAAAGGTTAATCACTGAGGGCTCTGGGGCTTTATAGTAGAATCTGGGTTATATTTAACTACTGACCAGGAAAGGGGCATCTAATTCTCATTTCCCTGGTCTGTGTGTATCAATCCCACACACAGAGCCCCTATTGACATGGAAAACATTTGGCAAATGATGGAGATACAGATAGTGCAGAGACGTGTTTAAAATCTAGAAGGGCAAATAGGTGAATGAATATTAACTCAGAATTTAATGTAGGGGGCTGCAAAATAGAAAGGAAACAAAATAAAAGTAACAGCAGAATTTTATTATTTAAAAGCTCATATATATTACATATGTGGGCCTTTTAAAAGAATAGATGTTGTATCTGAACAAAAGTACTTAACTTATTGGCATAATTATAACAAATTTTCAATTCTGAAGAACTGCTCATATGAACATTTAGACTCATGAAACCCACAAAGACTATTTTTTATTATTATTATTAAGTTCATTGGTACATTTTAGGTATACAATATGACCACATTCATCATTGGGATTTTGTACCTGTACATTATATATCTTGGATCTTGTTTTTTCCCATTCTCCTTCCCTGCCTTGCACCCCTCCACCCCTACCTATATACAAAAGCTTTGTTTCTGTTTTTTCCTTCTTTTCTCATTTTTTCCCCTCCCCTCAGTTCCCTTTCCCCTTTGAACCTTTTCTCCCTATTTCACATTATCTATTATACATTTTGGTCCTCATTTACACTTTCAGTTTCTCACAACAGAGAAAACAATTCTGTATTTACACATTTGTCCCATTTATTACACTTAAGAGGATGGCCTCAAGGTAAATCCATGTCTTTAGTTTGTTAAAAAAAAAAAAAAATTACATCTTCTTTACCCTGTGACCAGTTGATGGGCATTTGGGCTGTTTCCAAGATGTGGCAATTATAATCTGTGCCACTATAAACATGGATATGCATATACCACTGTGGTGTGAGTCTTTTGATCGTTTTGCGAAAATATCCAGCAGAGGAATAGCTAGGTCAAATGAGACTTTCAATCCTAGATTTCGGAAAATTTCCATATTGATTTCCACAGTAGTTGCACCAGTCTCCACTTCCCCCAACAGTGGAGAAGGGTTCCTTTCTCCCCACACCCCCACCAGCATTTGCTATTGATTGATTTCTTGATAGCAGCCATTCTTTCTGGAGTGAGATGGAATCTCAGCATTCTTTACATTTGCATTCTTGAATCACCCGTGATGTTGAACATTTTTTCATATGTTTCTTTGCTGCTTCTACTTGTTTGTGGAAATGTCTTTTCTTTTCAGATGCCACTTTTTGGATTATGTCTTTAAATGTGAGGGGGGTCTGATTTTTTTTAAGTTCTTTATATATCCTAGATAGTGGACATTTGTCTGAGGAACAGCTGGTAAAAAATTTTTCCCATATTGTGGGTTGTTTCTTCGGTCTGTTGGTGGTTTCTCTAACTGTGCAAAAGCTTTTTAATAAGATAAGATCCCAGTTGTTGATGTCTTTGTGCTACTTCATGTGCAACTGAGGTTTTGTTCATAAAGTCTTATCCTACACCAATATCTTCAAGAGTTCTACCTAGACTATGTTCTAGCAAGTTTAGTGTTTCTGTTTTAATATTTAGATCTTTGGGACATTTCGATTTTTGTTTAGTGCATGGTGAGAGATATGGGTGTAGTTAAAACCTTTGGAAAGTTGAAATCCAGTTTTTCCAGCACCATTTATTAAAGAGGCTATCTTTCCTCCAGTGAGGGTGGTTGGCTCCTTTATCAAAGATGAGGTGGTTGAGTATGTCTGGAGTTGGTTCTGCATCTTCTAATCTGTTCCACTGATCCTCGGATCTGATTCTTCAACAGTACCATGCTGTTTTTATCACAGTGGCTTTGTAATATAGTTTTAAATTGGTGCTTGTGATACTCCTTACCTTGTCTTTGTTGCCTAGAGTTGCTTTTGCTGTTCCAAGTTTCTCTGGATACAAATGAATTTTTGAATTTTTTTCTCTCTAGTTCTGTGAAATATGCTGTTGGAATTTCAATCAAGATTGCACTGAATCTATACAGCAGTTTTGGAAGTATGGCCATTTTCACTGTATTGGTTCTTCCTACCCAAGAACAAAGGATGTCTTTCCATTTTCTGATATCCTCTTCCATCTCTTCTTTCAGAGTGCTCTAGTTTCAGAGTAGAGGTTTTTTACTCCTTTCCTTAGATTGATTCCTAGGTGTTTCATTTTTGGGATGTTATTGTGAAAAGAGTTGTTTCACCAGTTCCTCTCTCAGTAAGTCTGTTGTTAGTGTACAGGAAGGTTGTTGATTTTTGAGTGTTGACCTTGTATCCAGCTACTCTACTGGATTTTGTTATTAAGTCTAGAAGACTTTTGGTGAAGTTTTTGGGGTCTTCTATATAGAGTATCATGTCATATGCAAATGATAACAATTTAACACCTTCATTTCCTATCTTTATTCTTTTTATTTTTTTCTCTTGTCTAATTGCTGTGGCTAATGTTTCCATAACTATATTGAACAGGAATGGTGATAGTGGACATCCTTGTCTTGTTCCTGATTTTATAGTGAACATTTTCAGTTTCTGACCACTTAGTATTATGTTGGCTATTGGTTTTTCATATATGGCTTTTATCAGGTTGAGATAAAGACCGTCTATTCCAATTTTCTGTAGGGTTTTATCCATGAATGGGTGTTAAATTTTGTCAAATGCTTTTTCTGCATCTATTGAGATGATCATATGGTTTTTGCTCTTGGGTCTATTAATATAGTGTACTACATTTATTTCCATATGTTGAACCATCCTCGCATCCCTGGGATGAATCTTACTTGGACACAGTGTATGACCTTCTTGATGATCTTCTGCATTCTGTTTGTCAGTATCTTATTGAGGTGTTGTTGTTTTTTTTTTGTGCCAGGGATAGAACTTGGGACCTTGTGCTTGTGAGGCTTATTGAGGATTTTTGCATTTATGTTCATTAGGGAGATTGGCCTGTAGTTCTCTTTTTTGATTGGTTCTTTCTCTGCTTTTGGAATCAAAGTGTTGCTGGCTTCCAGGAATTAATTCAAGAGTATTGCTTACTTTGAATTTCATTGAAGAGTTTAAGCAGTAAAGGCAATAGCTCTTCTCTAAATTTTTTGTAGCATTCAGTGGTTAAGCCATCAGGACCTGGGCTTTACTTTGTTGGTAGGTTTTTAATTATGTTTTCAATTTCATTGATTGATATTGGGTTGTTTAGAATTTTTATATCTTTATTCAACTTTGGTAATTCATATGTGTTAGAAATCTGTCCATTTCTTCTATGTTTTCCATCTTATTGGAGAACAGGTTCTCAAAGTAGAAACTGATGATTCTCTGGATTTCTGCTGAATCTTTTGTAATTTCACCCTTTTCATTCCAAATTTCATGGATTTTGGACTTTTCTTTTCTTTTCTTGACAAGGTTGGATAAAGGTTTGTCAATTTTGTTTATTCTTTCAAAGAACCAACTCTTCCATTCCTTGATTTTTTTGTATCATTCTTTTAGTCTCCATGGTACTGACTTCTGCTCTGATCTTTATAATTTCCTCTCTTGTATAAACTTTGGTTTTTTCTTGCTCTTCTTCTAGAAGCTTGAAGTTCAGCATTAGGTGGCTTATTTGAGCTTGTTCTGTTTTCCTAATATGGGTATTCACTGCTGTGAATTTCCCACACTGGACTGCTTTCATTGTGTCACACAAATGTTGGTATGTTGTATTGGCATTGTCATTTAATTGTAGAAATTGTCTGATTTCTTCCTTAATTTCCTCCTTGACCCAGGAGGGTATTATTCAATTTCCATGTGTTTGTGAAGTTCTTGTGGTTTCTTTGTTATTGATCTTCAATTTCATTGCATTATGATCTGATAATATACAGGTGATAATTTCAATTCCTCACAAAGACTATTCTTAAAAGCAAACAAAAGTGAGACTGATGTGACAGAGCCAGATTACTATTTGGGGGGTTTCTTTTTTTAGGCAAATTTTTAAAAGTAGCGGATGTTTTACAAAAGCATAATCTGACATGGAGGAGTGCTTTGGAAATCAAACATTCTAATTAACATGACCCATAAATCATCATGATTCACACAAGGGGCTTAGAAAAGCTAATAAACTCTTGAGTTCCCCTCTTTTTGCCTTCATTTCCTTATCTATAAAATGAGAATAAAAGATCTTACCTCACAGGGCGACTATAAACATTAAATAGAGTAATGTACACAGAACATTTACCACAATAACATTACAAAATAATGTTAAATATAATTGTGGTTGTAACTGTTGTTATTACTATTTACAATACACTAAACCCAAACAGTTACAGGCCACAGAAAAGCAACCCAATTCAAGAAATTGTGACTTTCTTATTTATATTATTGTTATGACTCAGTGCTTAATAAAACATTTAAATGCTTTCAAATGTTTTTGAACAAAAACAACAAATAGTTTAAAAATATCTTTCCATTATGCAGTTTTGGGAAACAGAAGAGAATTTTACAAACTGATCTATATAAGCCCAAAAGAAAAAACACAAAGCACCAGATAAATGATTATCACATCATACATTACTCCTTAAATGTCTATTAATCTACACTTACCGTGCAGACAGTATTTTAATAAGCTCTTTTCTATTTTGTACCCGAAGATGGTTGGTTTTATACTTAGAGTCATCAATCAATTCAGGTAAGTTCAAGATCTAAAAGGAAAAAATAATTATAAAAAATAATTCATGAGTTTTTCATGTACCTGCAAGCCCTAGGGGTTTCTAGCATTCAGAGCTTATTACTCTATTCCCAAGATCATTCCTTTCTGACCTTTTTACCTCTCAAGCAGGGGACATGGAGAGAGCAAACACAATTCAGATGGATCATGCTGGTGAACAAGTTTGTCATTTACAAGAGGGTTTTACTATGTTCTTATACCCATATATTAGAATAGAAGAGTATCAGATCCCTATAAAAAGTCTTACCTAGAGGAAGTAAGAAGAGAGATATAACATCAGATAAAATAAACCTATTTTTTAGAACCTATATCATAAATGCATGGCTGCACTTACATGAAGCCGACAACTAACATATATCTCATAGTTACAGTCACTTATTTGTTCCACATGTAAATAAAATAATATTATCTGTCCCAATAGACTTATTCAGGATGTTCTACAAGGTACTAAAATAAAGGGAACCATATACATTTGCCCAAATGCTAACCATTAAAACAATGTCAAATTAAAAGATCTTCTTCATATAAGAGTGTCACTATTTTTCTTTAGTATGGTTCCCTGAAGGAATTTGGGCTACAAATGCTTTTATATACTTCCTCCTTTGCTGATCCTTACTAAAGGGAAAAGTCTATCCTGCAAATCCCTCTGGAGATCTTCAATTTTAACAAGACCATAATGAAAGTACCAAGTGGATTTGGAATGGAAAAGAAGTCTTGAAAAGAATGTGTGGAGGCAGTGTTTGGCAGTTATGTTGGAAAGTCAGAAGGAGCATTTATGGGCTGGGGACAGGCCATGTGGCCTAAAGAAAGCTTCACTGCCTTTATTGATGTATTTGCTTTCAATATAAACATTTAATGATTTGATTTGTTCCCCCAGTTTAAATAAAATCAATCCACTTATCATCTTACAAAGGAGAGAGAAGTGAAGAAGAATGCCTGGAGTAAAGAGACCATCTCAATGGGGTAATCCCTCTTTTGCATTTTCCATTTACTTATTTCCTTTAGGAATAATAATGACAGCATTTCTCTCCCAGATTTTAAAAAGCAATGCCACATACGGTGCTCTTCCTAGAAACCTGTCACCATACCTGATCCCAGAATTGGCCTCATGTCTTGTCCAGCAGTCAGAAATCCTCCCTCCCTGAGAGTGAATAAGTCATTCCAAGAAAAACCAAGTGCTTTCACTAAATCACAGGTAAAATTTCTAAGTCTGGCCTCACCCAGAATATACCATCAGCTACATAAAATAGTGTAGAATGACTGTTCTCAACGGGGACTAGAATGCCCATTGTGTCCTCTGTATTTGACTTATTAGACCTCTTTTCTCCTTGCAGAATTGGCATTAAACAGTGGCTAAGACTAATTACAGTATTTTTCTATCTTCTGCTCTGCGGGCTAAGGTTCAAAATGTTTCTAAAGAGACAAGTGTGTGAAACATACCAACAAGGCACTGTTTCCCCTAAAAGAAAAAGTAAATCACATGTTTGTTCAAAGAAAAAAAGGAGGAGAGGAGAAAAAGAGGGATGGTTCCATGGACAATCAAGAGACATGATAACAGAAACTGTAGAGTATTCTCATATGATGCCTCTTACAGCAAAGCCCAAGCTCCTTAGAATAGCCTACAAGGCTCCACACAATAGGGCCTGTTGCCTCTCTAGCATCACCTCCTAACATGTTCTCTCCTTTGCTCCTTGCTGCAGTCATGTTGGCTTCTTTCCGAACCAAGAACATTCTGTCATGTCTCAGCCTCAGGACTTTTACACAAGCTATTTCTTGTCTGCAACATCTTCTGCCAGACACTCAGTTGGCTAATTCCTTCTCTTTATCAAGTTGGTTCAATTAACTTTTTAAGTGTAAATAGGATCAAAATGTATAATTGATAATGTGAAATAGGAAGAAAAGTTCTAAAGGGGAAAGGGAAGTGGGAGGGGTAAGGGAAAGGAAAGAAGGGAAAGGAAAAAATATGAGAAAAGGAAAAAATGGAAATAAAGTCTTTGTAAATAGGGAGGGGTGGAGGGGCTGAAGGGAAGGCAGGGGAATGGGGAAAAAATAAGAACCAAGTTATATCATGTAAAGTTACAAGTTCCCAATGATGAATGTCATTGTATTGTATACCTAAAATGTACCAATAAACCTAATTTTTAAAATGTCAACTTTTTAAAGGGAATACCTCAAGTACCCTAGCTCACTTTAGCCTACCCCACCCCATCCCAGTCCCCTAGATCCCCTCCTTTCTTGCCCTTCCTTTCCCTATAATTTATTTATTATATTTATTATTTACTATCTGTCTGTTCTGATAGAAGGTAAGCTCCACAAGGTCAGAGAATCTTACATGTTTTGTTCACAGGTATATCAGGTATATCTCAAAAGCTGAATCTGTCAACTGACCGATTCACAGATGAACAATGTGAACACTTTGAGGTATGTGATATTGTGGGCATTATTTTATGCATAGACTTTATCCTACCAAGTCTAAAACCACTTTTATGTAGATGCTTCTTACAATCTATGGCCTCTTAAAAAAAAAGGGAGGGAGGAAATTGCAGGCATTTTCACTGCCTGTAGGTCATAGTGTTCATATACATGGTCATCACTTTATGTGCATTATTGATACATGTTAAGTTCAATTGCCATTTGAAATGCTATCCAATATAACACACAAAACTGTTATAGTTCAAAGCTAATCATACTTCAGAACTTACATAAAAGAACTTTGTATATACAGGAAGACACAGAAATAGAGCTTGGAATCCAGCTTTTAGATATAGGGAAAAGTAAACATCCTTTATAAAATATGGTATTTCCCAAATTCTTAGAAAATATAGACCACTCAAAATCTCCTCTGCCAGTGAAAATATAAGTTACAAGGATTTGTTGAAAACAAGTTTTCTTAGATGACAATTGGTCCACTGTTAGTATACCCCCACTCTAGCCTTCTTTTAATTAACGTATATGCCTTTTATTTATTTTGTATCTTTACCAACATCTTTAGTTTATCAATATGATTATATTTAAAGTGAATTTACTGGATCATGGGTTGAATTTTTTTGTTATTTGTTTTGGAGGCTTATTTCTATCTTTTCTCACTATGCCTGCCTTTTAATTGGTGTGGTTAGGCCATTCATACTTAATGTTATTACAGATATTTTTAGTTTATTACCTAAATTTATCTGTATTCTTTGTTCTTCTGTCTTCCCTCTCCTGCCTTTTTGTGGGGTTTCTTCAAAGCTTTTAATATTACATTTATCAATTTTAATTCTGGCTATTGTTTTTTATAGGTAGATGTTTGTTGACTGTGTTAGATATTATAATATATGTACTTTTAACAATGTACATAGAATCATTATTTTCCACTTCAAATAGAATACAGAAAACACCACAGTATAGGTTCATTCTCCTACCTATTTTTTCTGTCAATTGCAGCCATGTACACTGAAAGTCCCATTAGACAATATCTTACTGTTTGCTTTCACCAATCAGACATATTTCAGAATACAAAAGGAGAGGACTAGTGTATTAAATTCTTGCACATATTACTACTTTGGTTGCTCTTCCTTCATTCCTGATGCTCCTAGTTTCCTTCTGATATCATTTACCTTCCGTAAATGAAGAGCTTCCTGTAACAATTCTATTACAGTAGATCAGCTGGCTTCAAATCCTCTGAATTTTTCTTTATATGAGATTGTTTAACCTTCATTTCTTAAGGATATTTCTACTGGACATTCAAGTCAGGGTTGGTAGTTCTTTCTTTTCTGTGTTTTAAATGTGCTGTGCCACTTCCTCCTAGCTCTTGATGAAAAATCTGCAGTCAACAGGGTCATTATCCCCCATAGGTAATACATCATCTTTCCCTAGATGTCTTCAGGATTTTTTGTTAGTCTTAACTTTCAGCATTTAGATTTTTAAATATTTGGCCATACATTTCCTTGGGTTTATCCCACTTGAGGTTTGCTGAAATTATTGTATCTATAGGCTTTTATCTTTCACCCACTTTGTATATTCTCAGTTATTATTTTTTCAATTATTTTTCAGTGTATAATTCTTCTCTTCTCTTTCTAAGAGCACAATGAATACAGATTTTTGTAATGTGCCACAGGTCCCTGAGGATCTCTTCTTTCCTTTTTGTGTGTGGAATATGGCTTTTTTCTGTTTGTTGTTCAGACTGAGTAATTTTTATTGATCTAATTCAAAATACTGTTTTATTTCCTCTGTTATCTGCAATGCACTACTGGGCACACCCAGTGAGATATTATTTATTTCCTAGTTTATTGTATTTTTCAGTTCTAAAACTTCCATTTGGTTCTTCTTCATATCTTCTATTTCTTTGCTAAACATTTCCACTTTTCCGTTTATTTCACCAGTGTCTGTAATGCTTGTTAAAGCATTTTTACAATAGCTGTTTTAAAGTCTTTATGAGTTAATTCCAACATCTGTGTTGTCTTGGCCTTGGTTTTTATAGATTGTCTATTCTCATGCAAGTTCTGGTTCTTCATATGCTGAGTAATTTTGGATTGTGTCCTGAACATTTTGAATATTGTGTTAAGAGCCTCTGGATCTTGTTTAAATCTTACAGAGAATTTTTGATGTTACTGTTTTTAGTAGACAATTGGCTGATTAGGTCCAAGCTGCAAGTTCCAACCCACCTTCTGTGAGCTTTACTTCTAATGTTGGTTTGGTTTCACCAGCTTCTGCAAAGCTATTTGAATCTGTCCTGCATGTGACCCACTTAATGGTCATACTATAACCTAAGTAGTCATGCACTCATTAATTCAGCTCACTTAATTTGTTAACTCAACATGTTTGGGATGCTAATTAGAATCAGATCAGGGCATGTGCAGCTTAGGCGTGAGCCCAGGAGTTCATAAACAACTTCAAGGATTGTTTTGCAAAGCTCTTCCCTTTCTGTAATTTCTCCAGGACTTCCCAATTCCTTGTGACTTTGCTTTAGTTGCCCCATTCTTTAGGACACTTACA